TTTTTTTTTTGAAGAGTGAAAATTCTAGTTTTTAAAGAACACAGAAGATTTCTTTTAATAAAGCTGTTATCATCGTTTTCATTTCTTTTTTAAACAGAGAATGGCCGTCGGTGTACGAATTCCCTTACAGTCAATGCTTCATCCTATTTGTGCGATTGAAGTCGTCATTTATTTGAAACTCATTGAATGAAGTAAATTTGATTTTTCGCTATTTCAGTTTGAGAGTTTAAACACGCCGCTTGTTGTCTGATGAATATTTATTGTACGTTTTGAAATACTGGCTTTATTCAGGCTGGAAGGAAGGAAGGAAAGAAAAAAAACAAAAAAAAACGTCAAGAATAAATGAAATCCGTAAAATGGAACCGAAAGAAAGATATGGAAGCGAAAACAAATGAAAAAAAAAATAGTGAAATAACGAAAGAAATGAAAGTAGAAAGAAAAGGAAGAAAGAAAGAAAGTCCTTTTTTTCATTGCGTAAAATTTAGAGGAATAATTTGAAGGAAGGTAAATGAGAGAGAGAAAAAAAAGAAGTCAAATCGAAAAAAAGAAAGAAAAGAAAACGTCATTAAGGAAGTAAAACAGTGAAAGAGAGAAAAAAGAAAAAGAAAAGTAAAAAGGAAACAAAAATATAAAAAAGAAAGAAGAAAAAACCTTAAAAAATAATATTTTTTTTAATTACGAAATATTTCGTGGAGAAATTAGAAGAAAAAGCTGAATGCCCGAGAAAAGAAAACACGTAAAGAAAAACAGAATAAAGACGAAGAATACAAAAGAAGAAATGCTATTTAGGAAGCAAACAGCGAAAGAGAAGATATATAAAAAAGCGGAAAATGATAAAAGGAAACAAAACAAAAAAGAAATTAGAAGAAAATTAAAAAAAAAAAAAAAAAATAAATAAATAAAAAAAGACCCCCCCCCAAAAAAAGATAAAAAATCAGGAAAAAAAAATTAAAAAGAAAAAAACCAAAAAACATGTAGCTTATTTAATGACTGAATTAGTTGCGTCTTCTTTATGGGTGCCAGAGATCGGGGTTTGAGTTTAGGCAAAGTAAACAGGATATAGAAAGCAGATTTTCTAGGTAGGTAGTACGGATGTGTGGTTAGTGTAACAGATATCGGAACGGGTTCAAATTCTAGGGTAGACTGTTACATTCACTTTCGCATAATTGCTCCGGGGAAAAGGCATGAAACCCAATCTTCTCCCTCCTCCCAGTTATGGATTAAATAGTAGTGTATACTACACTCACTAGACACGGATTTTAACCAGTCTAAGAGAAAGAAAACTTTGAACACCAAACTGGAAACCACTCCACTACATTTCCTAATAATGTGGGACAATTCTCCGGTAATAATAAATAGGGACCTATGATTTGATTGCATACTTTACATTTTTTCTTAAATATAAGTGCCTCCTTATTTGAAATATTGAAATAAAACAATGTTCCCTGACCATTTTGTCTGCAGTTGCTTTAAACTTAGAAAATAGATGGTTGGGCAAAAAGTAATTTTTTCCGGTGCGTTTGAATGGATTGCAGTTCGGTGTGAGAAATCAGAGTTTCAATTCGTTACATTTGCGTACGAGCCAATAACCTAGGGAAGAGTAAAGATTCCTCTCTTCTCAGTCTGGATTAAATAACAGGGCAGACTGGCTTCTATAGCTTTGGTTGGAAGACATTTTAGAGATGGCTCGATAAAATCACCTATCTGCCATCAAGCCTGATCTATTCACGAAGATGCATCAGCCCATAAAAAGAGCAGGACAGACTGGGTTCTATAGCTTTGGTTGTCAACCTTTCTAGAGATAACATGATAAAATCCCCAATCTCCCAAAAGAACTGGGAGGTCCAAGTGGTTGGCTCGGTCCATTAAAATAGCTGGACAGACCTGGTTCTGTAGCCTTGGTTGACAAATATTCTAGGGTTGATTCGATAAAATCACATACCTCGCAACAAGACTGCGACTTCCAAGGGGAATAGCTAGGCCCATGAAAATAGATGGACAGACAAGGTTCTATATCCTTGGTTGGCAACTATTCTAGAGATGACTAGATAAAATCACCCACCTTCCAACAGGACTGGGCTATCCAATGGGGTTGGCTTGGCTCATGAAGATAGTAGGGCACACTTGGTTCTATAGCTATAGTTGGCAAACATTCTAGAGATGACTTGGTAAAATCACACATCTCTCTCTAAGCCTCATTCATCGGGATGCATCGGCCAATGAAGATGGCAGGGCAGACTGGGTTCTATAGCCTTGGTTGGTAACTATTCTAGAGTTGAGTCGATAAAATCACCCACCTCTCAACAGCACTGGGCTATCCAAGGTGGATATCACGGCCCATGAAAATAGCAGGGCAGACTGGGCTCTATAGACTTGTTTGGCAACTATTCTAGTGTTGACGCAATAAAATCACCCAACATCCAACAGGACTGTGACATCGAAGATGGATGGCTCGGGCCATGAAAATAGCAGGGCAGACTGGGTTTTATAGCCTCGTTTGGTAACTATTCTAGATTTGACTGGATAAAATCACCCACCTCCAAACAGGATTAGGCCATCCAAGTGGAATGTCTCGACCCATGAAAATAGCGTAACAGATTAGGTTATATAGCCTTGGCTGGCAACCATGCTAGAGATGACTCGGTAAAATCACCCTCCTCCTAGCATGACTGGGCCATTCAAGGTGGGCAAGGGGGATTACTCGGCCCATCTAAATGCACGTGATTGAAATTCTTCAGTCGTGTGATTTGCGCATCCTGCCGCGTAGAGAGAAAAAAGCTGTTTATTACCGTTATTCATTAAATCCTTTTATGCAGTTTCTGTTTTCTATTTAGTTCGATAAAACATCCTTCCTTAGAAACAAAACTAATATTTTCAATTACTATTTGCAAAAATAAAATAAACTGTTTCTTAATTTTTATAGATAATTATAGATATGTATTGCATTAGGTCAAATAAATATTCATATTGCTCGCTGTAAAGAACGCTATCAGCGTTGCGCAACTTGTTTGTCGACCAACCACTTTAAAGAAATAGAACTTGTTTTAAACTTTTATCACGTTTCATTGCAAGCTACTTCTTTTCGATTTCGTGGTACCGGCCCAAACGAAAATATGCATACCAGTAAGTTGAGATAAATAACACACTGAAATGAAATAAAACCATTTAATTATTAATATGATAAGCGTAATAAAGAAAAGTTGTTGACTTCCGTAGTTAAAAAAAACAGCAATAATAGGATTGTGTAAAATTTAATAAAATGATAGTAATAAATTATTATTGCGTTTTTTTGATAAAGTGTTTTGATTTTTGAAGTCATTCCTCTAAGCAAAATGTCATATATAAACATGTTGTTATGAATAATTAAGAGTGGCGTCCTCTTGTTTTGTTACTCTCCTCTTTGAGAAAGGTATTTCTGTTTACCGGGACTATAAAAGGACACTATACGCGAACTTTGTATTCTCAGATGAATAAAGCTTTCTTAAAGCCTAGACCTGCGTACTTTTGTCATTGCACATATTACCCAAATTTATGGTACCCCTTCTAATTACCAGTAAATACAACATACCCTGTCTATCCAACTAAAAAAAAAAAAACGATTAAAATTCCGGAAGCCCTTTACATCAAGAGACGGCACTTCACCTTCAATTAAAAAGTAGCTGTGTTTATGCTAAAATGCTTTTGAACTGAAAGGTCATTTTATTCAGCCTGACAAACCCCGTCTCTTTAAAACTCACCTCAAACACTCCATTGGCTATCTTTCGAAATAGAAAATGACTAAAGATTGTCGAAAGCATCCGGGATTTGAGATACAATTTCGTCCATTTGTAAATTTCCGCCTGGAAAATGACTTATTCGACACCAAAGTTTTAGAAAACATTATTATTATTATTATTTTTAATATTAAACGAATTTTAAAGATGAACATTTCGGAAAAAAAAAAATGAATATATTTTCTATGTTAAACCAGCCTAAAAAATTCCTTTCGAATTATTTATAATGTTTCTCGTTGCAGGCCTTGATCCTGAAGAAGGGAGAAAATTAATATCTATTGTACTAATTGATCTACAAACTGACAGCAGTTAATGAGCGGATTCAGAAACGAAGAAAGAAAATCGTTAAACCTAAATAGAAAATTCAGAAATTATGAAAAATTACAAAAGCTATAACGATAATTATAAATGATGCGTGAATAAGTGGTACAAAAATCTGATGCGTCCAAGCAAAAGCGAAAGATGTCCCCCCTCCACCCAAATACCCGAAAGATTAAGACATATGAAAATGTCGTTAGAGACAAAAAAGAAAAAAGGAAGAAAAAAAAATGGAAAAAAAAAAGCAAAGAAAAAAAGAAAAAGAAAATGCTGTACTGAAATATAATATCTCATCTCCGATATGGCAATGAATGCTGGACCATCTCTTCAGGAATCAAGCCTTTGTCTCTCGCGCGATTGACGGGGATAATTATCGTGGGTCAGACCGCGTAAAACCCTTAATGATTGACGATCTTTGATATCTACTTGGAAGTGTGAAGAATAAACAATTGATTTGTTACTGCAACTGAAAAATAACAAAGCGTTTCGTGAGATCGAAATAAAGAAAGAAAGCAAACTAAAAGAAAGAAAGAAAACAAGAAAGAAAGAAAAAAAGAAAGAAAGAAAGAAAGAAAGAAAGAAAGAAGTAATATAAGTAAACTGAAAGAAAGAAAAAAGAATAATGGTAAACTAAAAGAATGAAAAGGAAAAAAAAGATTGTTTTTTAATGGAAGTGTCAACAATTCTGTAACTTTTTTTAAAACCAAAAAAAAAAAAAAAACATTTTAGAGTGTAAGAACTTTTTATGAATGTAATAATAATTTTATTGATGCAAGTCCTACTGATTAATCCACAACTAGGGAGAAAAGTTGGATTCATATATTTTCGAGAGTATTGTGAATATAACGAATCCAATTGGAACTCCGTTTTTCCTTTTCCGAGCCGTTACACCAGCTTCACATCGGAAGTTACAACAGCCAGTATTTGCAAGCAGTTATCCAGCTAGGTACTGACCAGGCTCGACGTGGCTTAACTTCGGTGATCGTACGGAAACTGATATTTCAACGTGATATGGCCGTAAGCCACAGAAAAAGAAAGGCAGAAGGATACAAGTGAACAAGAAGAAAGAAAAGAGTAACGTAATAAAAATGCATAAAGAAAGAAAGAAAGAAAAGAAAAGAAAGAAAAGAAAGAAAGAAAAAAGAAAGAAAGAAAGAAAGAAAGAAAAGAAAGAAAGAAAGAAAGAAAAGAAAGAAAGAAAGAAAGAAATAAAGAAAGAAAAAAAGAAAGAAAAGGAAAAGACAGGTTAAGAAAAAACTGAAAAAGTAAAAAAAAAGTAAAAGAAAATTCAAATGAAAGAAAGGGCAAAATTAAACAAACGGAAAGCAAGAAAGAAAGAAAGAAAAAGAAAGGAAAAGAAATGTTAAAACAAACTGAAAATCAAAAAAGTAAAAGAAAATTCAAATGGAAGAAAGGGTAAAATTGAATAAACGAAAAAGAAAGAAAGAAAGAAAGAAAGAAAGAAAGAAAAAAAGAAAGAAAAAAGAAAGGAAAGGTTAAGAAAAAAACCCCAAAAACAAACTGAAAAGCAAAAAAGAAATAGTAACAGAAAATCCAAATGACAGAAAGGGTAAAATTAAACAAATGAAAAAGAAAGAAAAATGGAAAAGAAAGATTAAAAAAAAAAAAAAAACCCTGAAAAGCATAAAAGAAAAAAGTAAAAGAAAATCTAAATAAGAGAATGGATAAAAATAAACAAACGAAAAAGAAAGAAAAAAAGAAAGACAGAAAGAAAGATAAAAGCGGATAAAAAAATGAAAGAGAAAATAAAAAAGAAATAAAAAGAAAGAAAGGAAGAGACATTAAACGAATAAGCCAATAAAAGCAAAAGAAAAGGAAAGCTAAAAGAAAGAAAAAGAATGAAGAAAGCCAAAAAGAAATGAAACGACAGGTGCTAAAAAAAGGAGATTAAAATTTCAACGCGCATTAAGAAAGATAATCCTTTATTATTTAACACTTGTCCTTTCACTGTTTCATAAGTGAGACAAATTCACTTTCAGAAAGTAAGGAAAATATTGATAGGAAAATAAAATTCTTCTCCTTTGACTTACGGCCATATTACGGTGAAACAGTGGTTCTCGTACGATCACCGAAGTTAAGCAACGTCGAGCCTGCTCAGTACCTAAATGGGTGATCGGTTGGGAATACCAGGTGCTGTAAGCATGGATGTGCCGGTGGTGTATTACGGCGCTGAATTGTTAATCGGAGAAAGAGTTCCAATTCCAGTTGGGTTATTTATATTCGCTTATGAGCAAATACCAATGAGACAAGTATGAATCCACCTCATCTCCCCCAGTTATGGGTTAATTAATAATTAGTAGAACTTCTATCAGTAGAACATTATTATCTCAAAAATTAAAAATACTATTTAAAATTATTTTTTGGCTTTAAATAATCTGAAAAGGGTTGATAAGACATAAAAAATAAATCAATATTCTTTTATGAGCCGTGTCCCTTCAGTGTTCGGGTGGTCATGGTTTCCCAAAATTTCCTGTTCTTTGTAGCTATCTGTCCTGGTCCCTTTCCTGCCAACCATTTATACAAGTTAGGTAGGTTATACGCTGCTTTTCTCTGTAGCTCTTACCTAAATATGCCCTGTGAGTATCAAATTTTCCAAGCCCTCTTTCCTCTTTATGTACCCTAGAAATTTCAACGGTCTCTTCATAATGTTAAGTATAAGTGTCCTTTTTGTTTCCATTTTCTCTAAAACTTGCTATGCGGGTTATGCGTTGTTTTCCTCTATCCCTCTTTGCTTTCAATCTGACCTGTGAGTATCAAATTTTCCAAGCCCTCTTTCCTCATTATGCGCTCTAGAAATTTCAACGATCTCTTCCTGATGTTAAGTATAAGTGTCCTTTTTGTTTCCATTTTCTCTAAACTTTGCTAGGTAGGTTATGCATTGTTTTCCTCTATCCCTCTTTACCTTCAGTCTGTCCTATGAGTATCAAATTTTCCAATCCCTCTTTCCTCATTATGTGCCCTTGAATTTTAAACTCTCTCTTCTTGATGCTAATTATAAGTGTCCTTTTTGTTTCCATTTTCTCTAAAATTTCGTCCTTGCTCGCATGTTAAGTCTATGTTATACTCAGCAGCCTTCTGTACAACCATATTTCTGTTGTCTCGAGTCACTTTCTCATCTGTGAGTTGATTGCCCAACAATTCACTGTTATATAGGAGGACCGATATTACATAAAAGCCCAATACTGTTTTCTTTGATTCTAACTAAATCTTCCTATTTTGTGCTACTTTGCCTAACATTTGGAAGGTATATTTCGCTATCTGTTACTTATTGTTTATATAATTTTCTATGTGCCATGTACCTTCAGGACGTGCGTAATCATGGCCCTCCACAACTTCCTGCCCTTTTTATCTATTAGTAAATAGTGCCGAATGTCTACATAATACCTAATCTCCTTTTGTACAGTGGATACTGGGGAAGACCTTCACAGATGAAAACGAGGCTTGAAGCGACAATAATGTGGTTCTGTCAGGAAATGCTCAGAATACCATGGAATAACAATGGAGAAGACTTAAGAAAAATTAAGAACGAAGAGGTAACTTATACATATTCCTTCAGTACGTGGGCGGTCATGGCTCTCCACAACTTCGAACTTTGTAGCTCTACCCAGTCTCTGTTCTACCATCCATTTACACAAGCAAATTAGTTTTTTTTTTTACCTTTCCCCTTTGCACATCTTTCAGTGGGTATCACGTTCTACAAGTCCCCTTTCCTCATTATGCGACCCAGTAGTATCATTGCCTTGTACAAGCGTCCTCTTTGTTCCCCTTTTATTAAAATTTCTTCATTTCCTTTGTAAATTATTTTAAATAAGTAAAGCGAATTTTACAAGTGAATTTTACAACCCTTTGGGCCCTGACCACCGCTTTACTGGTGGTTGATAAAAATGACGTAATTCCCAGCCATCGGTTGAACGGTGGGTAAACACTTGTAATTATTTTGATATCTACCTGGAAACATTACATATCAATTATTTGCGAATTTTAACTCAGAAGCTCAGCCAGAAGGGTTCAAATTGTTCAGGAAAGCAGGGCTCAAACCTTTGAGTCCTGTGTTCCTGAACAACAAAATGGTCTTGAGAAAATTTTGGAAAAACTTCTCTCGTGATTTTTTAATTTTAATTTTTAGTTTTTATTTTAAACTAGCAGTAGAGCCCGGCGTTGCCCGGGGATGTAACAGTAAGAGTTAGATCAAGTATCGACCATCATAAAGACTGAAAAATAAAATTGACAAAGATTATTATTTAAGGTTGACGGACACGCATGTCTTAATTATTATTTTTTTTTTTTTATGAATTGGTCAAACCCAAACTCAAACAAAAACATTGTTTTCAATCGTTCTGAGTCTATCGATTGAATAGAATTTTATTATAAACAATTGTCTTGTAAATGGAATTTTAAAAGCATTCTGAATGTAAAAATAAAGAAAAAAGTGTGCAAGACAATAAGAAACACTACCTGCCCCCCAAAAAGTGAAGTTTTGTTGAAATCGGTTGAAAAATGTAGGAAATCCGATCCCATATATAAACGAACACACACACACACACACACACACACACACACAAAACCTGGGTTTTATAATAAGTATAACTCGATATGAGTTGTCTCCCTTTCATTCTCGCGACAGAATCGTGTTTTCAAATTGATTTCATACAAAAACAATTGTATTTTCCAATTTTTGGCGCTGTCAGAACCACCGCGAGGTAATTTTACGTAGTCCTGTGAAGTTTTGTTGAAAAATGTAGGAAATCCGATCCAATATATAAACGTACAGACACACACACACACACACACACACACACACACAATCTGCGTTTTATAATAAGTAAGATTTAAAAGAAAATATTTCAAATTTTTATTTATTTATTTTTAATTTTAATTTTTAGTTTTTATTTTGAATTTAAAAAATATTTTAAATTTTCATTTATTTATTTTTTAATTTTAATTTTATTTTTTTATTTTAAATGTTAAAAATATTTTAAATTTTCATTTATTTATTTTTTAATTTTAATTTTTAGTTTTTATTTTGAATTTAAAAAATACTTTAAATTTTCATTTATTTTTTTTTTACTTTTAATTTTTAGTTTTTAATTTGAATTTTGAAAAATATTTCAAATTTTCATTTATTTATTTTTTAATTTTAACTTTTTTACAGTGAGGTTAACCCAGTACAAGGCCCGAGAGCCACTTGTGGTAGAGTGTTACGTTAAGTGGCAATTTGTATTGATAAGAGGGAAGTATAAAGGTTAACTCTAGCCTTGAACAGGTTAAGATTGTAGTGATCGTGGAAACATTCTCTTAGTTCCACAGTCGTTTCCACAAAGCAGTGGTTTGCAGGAAGAAGCTGTTCGAGTGGAACTTCCTTCGCACCGATGGAATATAGAGAGAATGTGGGCGGTTTGCTACTATGAAAGTGGCATGGCGTGTCGTTGCCGTGAAGGGTTTTTTTCAAGTCTTTATTAAATGAGCTTCGACCGAACCCGATCCAAATACGAGGTCTTGGCTCGATCCTTCCACCCCTACCAAAAAAAAAAAAAAGAAAAGAAAAACAAAGAAGAAAAAAAAGCATAAATAAATAAATAAAATAATAACCAAGTGATATATGTTTTAGAATCTGTTCTTGGTTAGGCAAATAACTTTTCAGTAACCACTCATATTCCAAAGAATTTGCAGACGGTCCATAAAATCATATCCATATGTTGGCTCATGAAATGGAAACGTGCGTTACGGGGAGGAATTTATATCCTACATTCGTAATTAAGGAATGGTTTGGTTCTACTATTTTTGTTACGATTCTATTAGTTCTTAATGAGTTCTTTGAATTGCGATTCAGTTATTCCTCGGCAGTGAAAAGATATTTTTTTCATTCCTTCTTGTAAATCATCTTTTGTTGACACTGAATATCCGCAAGGCTGGTACCGATTCATCAAGCTATAATGTCAAGTCTTTCTCGAGACCATTTAATTAACACCAAGACTTGATTTGCACTGTTCCCTTGACCTGATAAGCCCCGTTTTGCTCGCTATGTCTATACAGTCGCCTACTCTCGTCTGAATTTCCCTCTCCGTGTTAGCAAAGACTATTGAAAACGAACGCGCCACTGACATAGATGTATCGTAGCCAACGAGTTTTATCCATCATCGTTTTATTGTTTAGGTTAACGAGATTGTCTCGCCGTTGACTGGCAAGATAGGTTCAAGGCATGAAGATGAGTCACGCCATGAGAATGAAGAAAGGAAATCAGTGGACTAATTAAATGAAAACAAGAAGGATTTAAGCAGTCATAATCATTGGCTTTACATAAAAAAGAAACAGAACTTTATTAGAAAGGCAAGCAGACATCTTGTTTCCGGATTTTATCGCCTAAAAGAACTCATTGTAGAAAACTGTCATTCAATTGTCTGCAAACTAATCAAAAATTAAATAACATAATCTATACATTCCCGTATCGTAAATATTTGGAAGCTAATATTGCATAAACGTTATATTTATGGATAAAAATAATCAAGTTTATACTTAAGTCTACAGCTAAAAATTGCTCGAGTTTATACTTGAGTCTATAGGTAAACATTGGTCGGGTTTATACTTGAGTCTATAGGAAAACATTGATCTGGTTTATACTCGTGCCTATAGATAAACATTGATCAGGTTCATACTTGAGTCTATAGGTAAACATTGGTCGGGTTTATACTTGAGTCTATAGGTAAACATTGATCGGGTTTATACTTGAGTCTATAGGAAAACATTGGTCGGGTTTATACTTAAGTCTATAGATAAACATTGATCAGGTTTATACTTGTGTCTATAGGTAAACATTGATCAGGTTTATACTTGAGTCTATAGGTAAACATTGATCAGGTTTATACTTGAGTCTATAGGTAAACATTGATCGGGTTTATAATTGAGTCTATAGGAAAACATTGGTCGGGTTTATACTTAAGTCTATAGATAAACATTGATCAGGTTTATACTTGAGTCTATAGATAAACATTAATCAGGTTTATACTTGAGTCTATATGTAAACATTGGTCGGGTTTATACTTGAGTCTATAGGTAAACATTGATCGGGGGTGCCTTTAAACATTGATCAGGACTTGAGTCTATAGGTAAACATTTTCAGGTTTATCTTGAGTTATATAAACA